TATTTGAGGGTTTGTCATGTTAGGGAGAGATTAGGATTATTATTCGGTTTGGAGGGCAGAGTTGGGAGTGATGGGTGGAACCAGGCTTTTGAATAGACTTAGTACAATTGTCCTCAAGTGGAAGGGTCTCCTTTCTGAAGAAATGAGTTTCCCATTACTAGGGATCTTCAATAGAGAGGGGTTCTGCTTGACTATGGATTGTATCAAATGTCCTCTGAGGCCCTTTCCAACTCTGATAATCTGTGCTTCTGTGATTTGAAAGGGTTAGAGAGGACAAAACAGAGGAGGGGAAAGGGAAGGAAAAGGTACTAGGTAATTTACGGACTGAATAGCAAGCTGTTGAAGAATCCGGAGTTGGTTGTATTGAACCATTGCTTCTAGGAGATGGTTGCTACTCTAGCGTTAGAAATGGAGAGTGGGAAATGGGGGAATCAGGATGGTAGTATAAGAACTTGTCTTAGCTCTACCTTGATTCAATTCAGTTCAATAGTTATTGACCATTCTGGTCATTTACTTTTACAAGGTTCCTCACTTCATCATCATACTGAAGACAACAAGATGATAGGGAAAGGAAGATGAAGGAAAAGGGAGTGGAGGAAGAAAGGATGAGTAAAACTATTACTTTGAAATGCTTTAGGAGCCTTAAAGGGAAGTGATCGCATCTAGGTCACCTCAGTTCCTCAGAGTGTAGAAGAAGCGAAGAAAGATGATCACCCAAATAAGATGAGCATTAGCATCTTGTATTATCCAGCTTTCATAGGCTGTTCATCTCCCAGAAGGTGACTGGCACATGGCAGTAATCTACAGGATTCATTCCCATAGCTGTCCTGGCTGAAGAAGACAGCCGATGCCACACCACAGTTCATCACTCAGACTAGCCATGGCACTTGTCCAGGATTCAGTCTTCTTAATCTCAAGCCTGAAAGTTGTGTGATTTTCATGCTTCTTTTTTCTGCCTGAATGAAAGTCAAGTGCAGACATTCCCCCTAACTGTGGTGGACACAGCTGTAGAGAGAGATTAGCTTCCTTTATGCAGCTGGGCCCAAATGGGGATGGGGTAGGGAGGGAAACTTCATAAAAATGTTCTTGCGAGCAAGCTGGAACAGCTCCTGAAGTCTACATAATTACAATGATCATAATGAAAACAGTGATTGGAGGGAAAATATAATTGCTTGCACTTATATAGGGTTTTACAAAAGCTTGCAAAATTGTCCTTACAGAAATCGTGTGAGGTAGGTAGTGTAAGCATTATAATCCTGTTCAATAGATAAGAAAACTGAGGCACAAAAAACTTAAGTTTAAGTCCAAGGTAATATAACAAGTTAGGGGCAACATCGGAACCTTGGGCAGACCCTGGTCTTCTATCTCCAGTTTGAGTGTTCACTTCACTCCACTGCCTCTCAGGAAAGGTGGAGTACCAAAATGATGTCAGTTATTAGTTAGCATCTCCCCCCACCCCAATCAACACATTTTGTATAAATGAAACGGAGAGTATAATTACTGCCCTCAAAGAGCTGAGAAATAACATAAGAAGAAACTTAAGAATATCAGTTAGTAAGGTGAAATATGATTAATAAAACTACAAATAAGTGGTAAGCAATGGAAAAGAGGAAAGTTTAGGTTTTTATTTGGAGATCGTCCTCCAACCCAGAGAAGCTTAGGAAGATAGAAAGAGAGGTCTGTGGACATTGGGGTAGAGGCTGCCTGAGAATATGGCAAAGAAAGTGGCCCCAGGTGGTGGCAGCAGCAGTGGCTGTAGTTTACCAGCACCTAGTCATTGCAAGGGGACTCAACACCTGGTCAGGAAGACATCCCAGGAGACCCCTGATCTAGCAATGGGTGCAGGATTGGTTGCCATTTGGCAGCTCGGTTTCCCATTGTCCAGTTCCAGGTTGCAGTCCCCGGGCAGAGAGGAATGGTCACAGTGATGAGGGAGCAGAGGCCCTACTTGAGTAAGGAACAGAACACAGACCAGGAGAGCAGTGAGGACACCTTTCTCTAAATAACACCACTTTGGATGGACCAAAAACCTACAGGCCCCCAGATAGAGCTATGATAGCAGAAAGGACATAATAGACAGGAGTTCAGGCCAATTATTCCCTACCCCTACCCCAAAGACTCCAACATAAAGAAGCTAGAAAAATGAGAAAACAAGAAAAAAGAACCTGATAGGGAAACTCAAGATGCAAACTCAGAACTTGACTTGAAAATCCCTACAAACAAAGCCTCAAAGAAATATGCAGATTAGATACAAACCCCAAAAGAATTCCTAGAAGAGATAAAGAAAGGAGATTAAAAATTATTTTAAAAATTAAGTTAGGGCAGTAGAAGAAAAATTGTGGGAAAATGAGAATCATGTGAGAAAATTATGAAGAGACTTAATAGCTTTGTAAAAGAGGCACAAAAATACTGAAGAAAAATAACTCCTTAAAAATCAGAATTGGTCAAGTGATAATAGAGGTTTAAAACCTCACTGAAGAAAATAACTCCTTAAAAATTAGAATTGGTCAAGTTCTACTTGACCAACACTATAACAAAAGTCAAAAGACTGAAAAAATAGGAGAACATGTGAAACAGCTCATAGGAAAAAAATAACCTGGAAAATAGAGCTAGGAGAGCTAATTTAAGAATTTTTGAACTACATGAAAGCCATGATCAAGAAAAGAGCCTAGACATAATATTTCAAGAAATTATGAAGAAAAACTACTCAGGTATCTTAGAACCAGAGGGCAAAGTAAAATTAAAAGAATCCACCAATCACCTCCTGAAAGAAATCCCTAAATGAAAACTCCCAGGAATATTATAGCCTAAATCCAGAGCCCCAGGTCAAGAAGAAAATACTACAAGCAGCCAGAAAGAAATCATTAAAATAGCACAGAACCACAGACAGGATCATACCAGATTTAGCAGCTACTTCATAAAGGAGTGAAGGGCTTGGGATGTGATTTTCCAGAAGACAAATTCCCTTTTTTCTCAGATAGAGAATCATTCAGACTTCCTTCAAGGTTAGAATTCTGCCTTATGTTTGTAAGAGGTACAAAGTACATCTTTTTTGTCTTTCTAATAACTATCCCCAGCTAAAACTTAGCCTACACAACAATTTCAAAATTTCTCACCCTAAGACTGTCCATTGAAAACCTCTTTTAGCAAGATGAAAAAGAAATGAAGGGCTGGTTAGCTGCACAGCAACATTTCTCTTGCTTCCTGTGCTAGGATGCTCATAATAAAAGCCCTCCAACTCTAGGCAGTGAAGATCCTCACACTGATGCCACACAATTCTCACATAATATACCATGATGGTTTGTCTGATATGTGGATTATATTTGGGATGCAAAAAGTTTTCATGGGAGAGCAGTCAGAAATACTAGTTTTTAGAATATAAAATTGTAATTGGTTATTTTTTTAAAATAAAGTAATAATGTATAAAGTAAAAGTGATTCCATGAGAGCATTTCCTATAGCATGGTAAAGGCATTCCCTTTTCAGTGACCAGACAGATGCCAGACTACATCTCATTGCTTTGCATATCAGGCTTGTCCCATGAGTGCTCTTGGCTTCAGAAATGCTACATGCCTTCTAATCTACATAAACTCCAATCCTTTGGCTTTCATTGCAGATAGGGGATGGGGATAGGGACTGAATTATTGATTTCATTGGTATAAGGTGGGTACATGGCAGTATCTTAACGTAAAATTTTTTTTCATTACTATCTTTCAATAAAATTCTTTTTTAATTGAAATTCAATAAAATTACAATTATCTCTTTGTAACTTCATGCATTTTATGCATTTTAAAAGAGTCTGTGATACAACAAAAGATTAAGAACTCTTCACCTAGGGAATTCTCTGGATGAAGAAATTCTCTCTACTAAAGCTGGTTAAAACTATCTGGGCAATTTATGGTCTTTGAGACTATAATCCTAGAGTGCTGAGAGATTAAATGATTTGTTATTCACAAGGACAATACATATCAAAGGCAGGACTTGAACCCAAATCTTCTTGGTTCTGAGGCCAGCTCTTTGTGGACTATGCTGTGCTGTTTCTGTTCAGAGCAGATATTAGAGTCAAATAGCTTTTCTTTCTTTCTTTCTTTTTTGTTTTTTGGTGAGGCAATTGGGGTTAAGTGACGTAACCCAGAGTCACACAGCTAGTGAATGTTATATGTCTAAGGCCGGATTTGAACTCAGGTTCTCCTGAATCCAGGGCCGGTGCTCTATCCACTGAGCCACCTAGCCGCCCCCAAATAGCTTTTCTTAATGAGTGGTATCTAAAGCAATAGCAAATCTAATTACTATAACTAATTTATGGAGCTGAAGTCCCACTTCACTGGTTTGGAGGTGACCCTGGATTATGCCAGCAGAATACAAGTTCCAGTAGTTCTTATTAACCTGAAAAGAATTTGAGTGTGGGTTGACTATATATTCACTGTCCAAGGTACCAAAATGGTGCAGCAGCATCAATGGGGGGGGTGCAGCACAGAGTGTTGGATTTGAAGCCAGAGAACAAGGGTTCAGATTCTGCCTCTGCTACTGCTAACAAATTACTCAACCTCTCAGGACCTCAGTTTCCTTATCTGTACAATGAGGGGGTTGGACCAGATCAGATCATCTCTGATGTCTCTTCCACCTCTAAATCCTCTGACCAGCCAAGTAAAGTTCAGATTTTGTTACCAGGTTGGCTGTATGGTGGCATAGTTTTCAGCCATAGCAATACTTGTGGACCATGTAAGTGTCATATTGGATCAATACTAGCTATGGAGTCAGGAAGACTTGAGTTCAAATGTTGCCTTAGATACTCACTAGCTATTTAATGTGTCTTCTTAGCTTCAGCACCCTCACCTGTAAATGGGGATAATATTGTCTACTTTCCATGGTTGCTGTAAGGATAAAATGAGATAATGCTTGTAAAGCACTTTGAAAACATCACGGCATTGTGTAAATGTTTGTTATTCCAAGGGGCAGAGATGTTCCAAGCAGCAGAATCAGGGGTGGGAGTACACACACCCAGGAAATCATAGGCCCCTGAGATGCTGAAGCAGGTGCAAAACACATCTTGCTGCTGCTGTATTTTCATCATCGTATGAAATAGGTAGCAAAAACCTGATTCATAGAGATGGGAATTCCCCCCACCCCCAAGAGGTTGTTGATCTTGTGTAAAGAGGATGACAGTAAAAGTGAAAATGTTTCCTATCTGTTCACAGTTAGGCTGACATTGGACTTCAGAATCTAGAGCTGGAGGGTACCTTTGAGATCTTCCAGGCCAAACTTCTCATTTTCTGGGGGAGGAAATGGCCCCAGAGAGGGGGTCTGACTTGCACAAGGTGACACGTGGTAGGTAAGTAACTGAGCTGCTTTTCCCACCTTGAAGACAACCACAATGGGAATCCAAGAATGATGAACACACACACAACCAAGGGGCAGCTGGGTGGTGGTGTGGATAGAGCACCAGGCCTCAAACCAGCAGGACTCATCTTCCTGAGTTGAAATCTGGCCTCAGACACTTACTAGCTGTGGGACCCTGGGCAAGTCACTTAACGTTGTTTGTCTCAGTTTCTCATGTATAAAATGAGCTGGAGAAGGAAATGGCAAACCACTCCAGCACCTTTGCCAAGAAAACCCCAAATGGGGTCATAGAGTTGGAAACAATGGAATATGACTGAACAGCAATAACACACACAACCAGAGACCCTTACACAGCTTTTTAAAAAGTCGTCATGCTCCCCCTTTCCTCCTCTCATACCCATTCTTCTCATATGCTATAAAAGAACAGACCATTCTACTCTGAGTTTTAAAATGACAGTGCATTCAGATTTTACTAGTGGGTTTAATTTCAAACATCTTACAATTTCTATCAGTGGTGGTTTGAGAAATGAGCCAGGCTCTGGCATGAGGAAGACCCGGATTCAGGTCCTGCTTCTGACACATAGTAGTTGTACCAGTGAGCTTATCCTGAGTCAGTGGCTCATCCTGTCAGTGTCCCCACCTGACTCTCAAGATGGGTCATAGATGTGCCTATTTACTTAAGAAGAAGAAGAAATTCTCAGACAGGGAGTTTACCACACAGATTCAGACATTGCCATCTAAATTTTTTTTAAAAATCATACAAGGAATTCAAATTCAAGTAATATTTTATGGTAACTAATCCTATTCTGTTTCAAGCACTACCTGGAATTCCTAGGAGTTTGCTAATTCTTCTTACTGCTGTGAACATTATCCAGGTTCCAGCTTCACTTGTGGCTATCTACATTAGAGGTTAAAGACAGTGAAAGCAAAGCCTTATATACAGGGAGTCCAATCACAATCTACAGTGTAAACAACTTTACAGTAATGGGAGAGAGTGAACAAATGGGAGTAATAACTTCCCATTACAGAAAAGGATATTGCAAGATGATGAGAAACATTGTTGAGATAAGTGAGAATGGGGCCGAAATGGTTGTTGCCCTAATGAAATGCCTAAGATGGACTGCAGTGGTAAATAAGCCTGGAGACAGGTGGTCCGGCACCATCACTGCCTAGTGAAGAAAAAAGATAACACGAGCAAAGAAACCATTTTAGTGCACTGCGCTGGAAATGGAAATCACCCAGAGTGACCCAGATGATATTTATGTCACCACAACAATGAATCTGCCACCTTCCAACATTCATTGCTTCTTCCTTCCTTTGGGTAGGATTGAGAGTCTAGTTTTTCAGAATGGAGGCCTGGGGACTGTTGATTCAGAAGACTATGCACTCACTCATCACCTACACAATTTCCATGTATTATCTTTACCCTAAAAATGCTGAGATTCCTAAGAGCAAAACCCAAATGATTGTTAGGATGTAGTGGAGAATGTGTATTTATGTTTGTGTTTTGGCCTGTGATTTCCTTAGTGAGGGGAGCTCTCAAGTGTTTCAGCTCAGGTATCATCTCCTACACCAGGCCTTTCCTGATTCCTTCCTCTCCAATTTTAAGTCCTCTATCCCTTTCTCAAATGACTTTGTATTTAATTTTTATGTATTTACTTATCTACGTTCATATTGTTTTCTCCAGAAGAATGTAAACTTATTGAGAATAGGGCCTGTTCAATGTTAAATAAAAATAATTATAGCTAACATTTATATAGTGCTTTACATGTGATATCTCACTTGATCCTTACAAAAAGCCTGCAACATAGGTGCTATTATAACTTTAATTTTACAGATGAGGAAATTGAGATTGAGGTGTTAAGTGACTTGCCCAGGTTCACACAACTAGTCAGTGTGTGAGAGAGGATATGAACTCAGGTCTTCTGTCCTATAGTTTATCTACTATACCAGTAGTATCAAATTCAAATAGAAATAGTAGCATACTGGCTTAGAAAACCACAAATTAACATTATCTATGTCGTATTATATTTTTAATTTATTTTGGTAAACATTTCAAAATTCTATTTTAATCTGGTTTGGGTTGCACTGGGAAGATGTGGTAGATACTTGTTGAGTTAACTCAACTGAAGTGAAAACTCCCTCTCTCCATGCAGAATAGTTGTAATTTATAGTCTTAAGAATTGCCTGGAGCACTGAAGTTTAGCTAGTCTGAATCAGGGCCAAGACTGGAAGTGAGGTCTTCCTGATGCCAAGGACGATCTTACAGTACAACACAGAGAGTCTGTGCATCCTCCATTTTATTTAGGGTTTAAGAGAATATAGTAAAGATCTTTCATGTCTTCTCATATAAGGAATTCCTCATGAGTAAATAGTGCAGAATTTTAAATCTAAAAACAGATAAAATGGGAGGGACTAATTGATTTCATATTATCACGGAATCACAGAGAGTTGGAAAAGACCTCAGAAGCCACTTTGTCCAACCCATACCTTAAAGGAGGGTATGGGAATGGGAATATATACAGAAATGGCCATTATACTAAACAAAGTTAGACTAGAAGGCTAAATTAAATAATTTTAGAATAAAGGGTTAGATTTAGAATAGGCTAAATTTTAAATAATCTAGAAGTATACATTTCTCCCTCAATCATAGGATCATATATTTAGAGGTGAAAGGGATCTTAGAATTAATAGAGGAAGAAAATGAGATAAAGTGATTTGCCCATGGTCCCACAGAAAATAAATTCAAAAGTGGAATGGTTAAGTTATCCACACAAAGAAAGGCAATGTGATACAGCGGAATTGAGGGACTGAGGCTTAAGTCTCATTTCCATCACTCACTAGCTGTGACCTTGGGTCTTCAACTCTGCCCATCTGTAAAATGAGGATAGTAAGGCTTATATTACCTACTCCGTGGAGTTTGTTGTGAAATAGCATTTTGTAAATATTAAAGAACCATATAATTTATTTATTCCTAATAAATTCATGTGGAGAAGTTGCACAATTGGCAACAGAACCCAGTTCTCTGAGATAGGAAGAAGACCTAGGAAACTTGAGTTTCACCTTGGGAAAATGTCTTGTTTAGACACACTCAGAGCATCCAACTTTTGATCCTGGGGGAAAAGGTTCTGTTGAATGGGGGTAGAATTTCTGCCTTTGGTGACTTCCTAATGGCAACCAGCTCTAGAGAAAGGAGTGATGAATTGTGGGTCATGAATAGAAAGGGAACAATCTGAAACAAACAAAAAAGCCCATCAGTTTTGCTTTTTTGCCCCACGCCAGGACAGTCTGCCAGAGGTGGGTGGGAACTCACCAGATGTAGTTCTCATTTCTCTCTGGGGTAAACTTACTAAGAGTCCAGACTCATGCCTGCAGGGACACATTTCTGATTTTATAATGGGTTAAAATAGGAAAGCAGGATTCATTTTTCAGAAATTTTCTTTACAGCCAGTTTTTCTGAAGCACACCCATTCCATGAAACCTATTCATATGCTTATAGATTTGAAGCTGAGAAGGACAATAAAGGTCATATAACTACCTCATTTCACATCTACAGAATCTGAGACCCAGAAAAGGAAGCATGAAGGGAGTGAATAGCAGAAGTGGTATTTAAGCTCAGGTCTGATGATACCAGAATATATTCAATCAATCAATTCACAAGCATTTATTAAGCACCTACTATATGCCAGCTACTGTGCCAGGTGCTGGGGACAAAAGTCACAGAGAACAGAGAATGAAACTTGAAAGGAATGTACATTCTAATGAGGGGGGCAACAAGCTTTTCCTTAGTGGCATCTAGGTGGTTCAATGGATAGAGCTTTGGGCCTGCAGTCAGGAAGACTGAGTTCAAATCCAGCCTCAGACACTTACTAGTTGTGTGACCCTGGGCAAGATACTTAACTGCCTGTCTGCCTCAGTTTCCTCATCTGTAAAATAGAGATAATAATAGCACCCAACTCTTAGGGTAGTTGTGGGTATCAAATGAGATAATTACACACACACACACACACACATGCCTGGCTATATAAATGTTAACTCTTATTATTATCACTTCATAAAGATTTTTCGGTATATCACAAACATTTGTTCTCGTACAAAAAGAGGGACACCGTATTAAAAAAAAACTTTTTACAATTCTCACTTTATAGGTGAGAAAGTGAGTCCAGCAAAAGTCAAATTAACTTCTGGGTGCCTACACAATACATCTGTAATGGCTGATAACAGAACTGATAACTTGAGCAGAACTCAGACTCCAGTCTACACCGTCCTCTCTTTAGACAAGAGACTACACCGGTCAGCCAAAGCAGAGGTATCTGCTTCTGGTAGGCTCCAGAATTCCCTTTCACTCTGGAGCATTGAAAACTCCCAGGGTCCAATTCTGTTCTCAGGAAACATCCTCAACATTTCTCTCCACACCCCCTGCAGGGGTAGATGAGTATCAGAGAGCTGAATACTGATCCTGACCCTGTGCTAAGTTTAGCCACAGCAGGCCTGGGGTTAGTCACACATTTTAATAACTAGCCGTTTGTTTGCAATGCACTTCTCACTTGGCAATTTGTAGCAGTCACGGAAAAGCGCCTGAAGAGGTCAACGGAAATGATGAAACAAAGCCTGCCAGGACATGCAGGGATATTTGAGAGCTCGTGGTTGCTAGGGACCTTCCCTGCTCTACACACCCAGCTAGGTCTCCTTCTCCAGTATCTGCACACCCTTGGAAACCATAATTGATGATGC